GAAGTATGGCTCATTACTACGAGAGGTATAAGGTGCCATTTAGAATACCTATTGAGGGCGATTGGGAGAGGCCGAGAGTTAGACAACCAATAGTGATGTGTTTTACTTTTTAAATCGATCTGTTTTTTTTCTCAGAAAATGTTTATCACTGTGTATAGAAAGGACGTTATACAGGGTGGTATGTTCTAAAATGAAACTCCTTCATGTATTCTGCTTATGAAATGTAGGATGAATTGACATTGTAAAGTAGGTTTCTTGTAATTAAAACTGGTGAAGATTCATATATTTTTATTTCTTTTCCTCAACGAATCATTAGTTTTTTTATTTCTCACGACGTTCATATTTTTCACGAATAACTGTTCATCAATTCATCTATATAATGAATTGAGACAAACATTCAACAAAGTTCTGAAGTTTAGCAAAATTGCCAATTATGGTTTCAAACAGGAACATATCGATTTTTTCAAACAGCCGATGGCCAAGCTTATGGTACACTCGGAATCCTATTATCGATAAGTATCACAGAAAAAAATTGCAAGATGAACTGAACCATTGCTTTCTTGGTGACATTGAACCAATCATTTCATTGTGAAATAAAAATGTTATGTAAAAAAAATACATGATACATTACAAATGATCCTTGTTTGAATTGGGAGTGAGGACAGGAAAAAAGTTCTACTGATGAGTCTGGTGTATCCCGATACCAAAGATGAGATGAAAGCTATCCAAGGTAAGACATAATAAACCACCCACAAGTGAGTCATTCGATGAGGCCAAGTGAATAAAGACAATTGTAGTTATCAAAATAAACACCTAGCCAATTATGTCGTTGTATAACTCCAGGTAAAAAGTACACTACCCACAAGTGAGTAATTCGATGAGGCCAAGTGACAAGTCACTTATACTAATCGAACTGAACACCTAGCCAATGATTCCGTTGTATAACCGCAAGTGAAAAGTACATTAAGGCCAATTTAACAAATATTCTGTCTTTAATGAAGCGTTTAATATCAGTAGGTTACATGTGTTCCTGAAATCACATTAATAACAACAAGTGATCAGATTCAGAAATATCATTTTTCTTGTGGCTAATGAAGCGAGTACTTGTCCCATATAGTATGCAAATTTTTATTTGGTAGTATGCAAATTTTACTAGCTGTTATTGAAGTTTTTTTTCCGTGTACATAGAGGACAGGCATCGAAATCTTCACTACAGCACAAGAGAGCACTTTACTGCCAACGTCTTCTTATTGTGGAAGCAGAGCTACTTTCATAAAGAATTTACTCACAGTTAGAGCAAAGTAACTTTGCTTTCGTATAGGTTTATAGGTATGGAGTATATACCAAAGAAATGGTTTCAGGAAAGTGATTTTTTCTGTTAGAGCAACGCCACTTTACTACTTTTGTAACTATTTTGGCCACGACAGAAAGAAAAAAATCAGCTAAGAACTTCCTCCTGGGACTTTTCTCAGTATGATGAGTCTATAATTATATCAATAGATACTAGTAGATATTGAAATTTCTGAAAATTATGTTGTTTTGGGTGTTCTATGATGTTATGAAGGTTATTTCATTTTTTGTTATAAGCTATTCATACCCGAGTTGAATGAGGTGCTTTATCTGAAAAATCCTCTTGAATCATTGATTCGGCACACAGAAAGAAAAGATTTGATATTATCAACAGAACAGGTTCTGTAACGAATTTAATAAAACATTAATCTTATTTAGCAGAATTTCTTTATCATTAACATAAAAATTATCACGGAGAATCAAGAATCGAATATGAATTTTTGAAATGTTAGAATTTATTTCTATTTGGGGTTTCGTATTATAGAAATCATATATCATACACTGTAGAAAATTCCTTTGAGTGAATGTATGTATTATGTATGTGGTTGTGAGTGAATTTACTGATTGAAATTTTCCAGTGAATTCCCCACTCAAACTCGCTCAAACTAGATATTTCATCAAGTTTCCCTATCAATGAGAATGTTTACTACAAATTCGATTGAATCGGCTCATGAATCACCATTTTACACAGTCAAGTAGGGTGGAATTTCAACTCACTTGGGCGTGAACCGAAATTGACACATTATTGCGATATAAAAATACAGGAAGATACTGTCGATGTCATTGTTTATTCTGTGCTATTTATTTCGTGAGATTTCTATACTAATATCAGATTTTTTGAATGAAATATTTCATTACAACTGCTAAAAAAGTAATATTTCATAAGATTACGAGTGCTTCTATAATATTGAAAGAACTTCAAACAGAGTGATTATTCTGAAAGAATATTCTGTGTATATAACAAATTGTTTTGTTCCATTTGAGGAAACCCCAATCATGAGAAACTCGTTATTTTCAGATCGATTGCTTCTGGCAGCCTGGCACTCCTCAGTCCTCATTCACATTTCGCATTTTGTGTTGTGAAGTCATCAGTAGTTATTACAAAGTAGTGTGAATAATTGTTTCGATTTTCTATCGTTCTGCGATGAGTACCTACTACGCAATAATTATATAATTTAAATATCATTCATCAGATACAATCAGACAAAAGGAGTTAACTATTTTATTCTGTTTCAGGTTGACATTGCTGAATAGAAAACACATTATAAAAGACAGGAAACGACTGGAAGGTATTTTCGAAAAATCAAGCTGATGCATCTATATTAAACAAATTCCAAGACGTCTTGAAGAATTGAAAAAACATCCGTACCGAAGGCAGAAATCTTTATGATATCATCAATTGATTTTGATATTTTATATCTTTTAGATGAACTAATTATTGATAAATGTGATATTTGATATTGCTGTAAATTCATTTCATATTGTTTCCGGTTGACATTGCTTGTGGAAAATTCAAGGAAGATTCCTTGGAAAATCATAGAATTATATCTACTGATTATTCGCAGAAATTTAGTGATTCACACGAGACCAACGAGACGAGACTTTCATAAAGTCTCGTCTCGTCTCGCCGATGAAATATGAAGTCTTGTCTCGAGTCTCGTCTCGCAGCCCCGAGTCTCGTCTTGTCTCGCGTCTCGTACGAGAGTCTCGCAAAAGTATCGCAATTTCGTCATGCATAATGTCTAGTACGGGATATTTACCTTTGTCTACTTTCTAGGTATAATGTAGAAGTAAAGAAAGAAAATTACAACAAAAATAACATTGTTTATGGAAAAGTAAGTATCTAATAGGTACATACTTACATCATACATCTAAACAAGAAAAAAAAACATAGCATTATATATTCGAAAGTTATAAAAATGAAATAAAAAGTAACACGTTTTTTCTGTGACGGGAAAAAAGTTTGGCATTTTATCTCTGTTGGCAGGTTATAAAATGTCACTTTTCATAAATTACTTTTTTCCCGTGGGAAAAAAGTGAGTACTTCTTTCCCGGATATATATCACATATATATACTCTGTTAATGGCTTTTGTTGTGCTATAGTTCCGAAGAATAAGTCAATAATACCGTCTCCGAGAAAGAACTGCAAGTCCTTTTATCTTCCATTCGACTTCGCGGTTTCGTATATTACTAAACAACTACTGAATTCGCAATTTTTTAAAATCAAATCACAGAATTGAACTGACAGAAGTGACATCAGATATTTGATTACTTCAAAAGAATGATGAAGATGTCTATAAAACGCAGGTGTCCCTACTGTTAAAAACTTGAAATTTCACGTCGATAATTTTCAGATTTCGAAATAATGTAATATCTTCCCAATATTGATTCGTCCTTCCTTCTGTCACAGAAAAAAATAGTGTATTATACACGGGAAAAATATTAGATTTTAGCTCACGGTTTTTTGTCTCCCTCCGCTACGCGTCGGGAGACAACACAACCTGGAGCTAAAATCTACTACTTTTTTCCCTTGTATAATAAATAACTATTATTCTCAACAAATAAACAAAACAAAAACTTTAATCCAACATTATTTTACTTATTTGAGAAATAGGTATTAAAGAAAATAGTTATTTGTTTTACTAGGCGAAAAAGTAGTCAATCTACATTTTCTGCCATGTGAAACATAGAATTTTTCCTCCAAATGATATAAAACCAATTTTGTGTGATTTTTTTATTGAAAACTCCATCATTTTGTGTTCACCATATGTCAGTGTCAATTCCGATTACAAATTTCATTAGAATTTCTTGGAACGTTGCATAGCAACAAACTTTTTCTGCCTAGGCAGTAAAAGTACACCTTTTCTGCCTGTTAAGCGGCAGGAAAAAGCCACTATTCCTGCCGCTTGGAGAAAAAAACCTTTATCAGTCAGATCAGCCTTCACAATCGCAAATGTTTTTGTTTTTCACCCAGTCTTCAAGACATAACAAACATCGTGCAGATTCATTATTGAGGCGATTCCTATGTTTTCTTATAGAATTCTTCCTGAATATGGAATATGTTTTATTATGAATGAAATTCTCAAGTGTGCAGTCGGCACGCAGAAATATTTACCTGCGAGACTCTCGCACGAGACACGAGAAGTCTTGCACGAGACTCGAGACGAGACCAATGAAAGTCTCGTCTCGCCTTGTCCGAGTCTCGTCTCGAGTCTTGTCTCGAAAACGAGACGAGACCATGCGAGACTCTCGAAAACGAGACTCTCGCGGGCACCACTGGCAGAAAACTTCAAGACTCCTCAGAGGAATGATTCTTTTTCCTCAAAATGCTTTCAATGCTGTAGGAAGATTCTCCACGATTACCGAAATAATGATATATGCAGAACTATTACAAGCATTATTCTTCTGAGTGTACAGAACTGTTTTTTGTAATTATAGATATTTCTTTATACAGGGTGTCCGAAAATCATGCGCAAAAAATCAAGGGGGGTTGATTCTACATAATAAAATGAGAAATTCATTTTATATGTTGAATCCTCCAGAGTATTGGTATCGGAAAAGTGAACCGCTCTGTATAAATCTTTTCGGTATCAGCAAGCAACAACAGTAACAACCAATAGGTATTTCCAAAAATTGAAACATTCCCTACCTCCCGGAATCCTCTGATGACTTTTGGACATGTCCAAAGCAGACTCTTGCACATCACTATCGTCATCTTTGCCGCTCAAAATATCCTTTATCGAAAACGGAGTGACAGAAACGAGAAGCTTCTCATCTTTCTGGCTCTGTTGACTTGTTTCGTCCTCCATAACTGATCTCATAAACTCTTAACAAACTATCCACAACCACTGATTATTCTTGGCGAAAGTACTATGTGCTACCTCCGCCAATTCATGCAGTCTACTGACGTTTGCAATGTAAATCGCTGCTTACACCACTCATGTGCTATCCTGAGCACGCGGACCTCCTGTCCTTGTCTGATGCTATTACTCGTCGATTCTTTCTCTGTCTGATGGGAAAGTTTGATTCGTGGGGGTGGGACTTAAAGATCGTTTGAATGCTAAACTATATCGTATCGTCGGCGAGTAACCAATGTTTGTGGACTTTTGTTATTCATCTTTGTTTATATCTCTCGTTCAGTATAGGATCGGATTTGTATGGTTTGACGAGTGGGCATTTAGCCGAAACGTTTGTTCTACCGGGAGGTCGAAAAGTGCCTGCGAATAATATAAGTACCTAATTGTTGGAGCAATGATTGAATAGTTCAGTCAGGGTTGTTTCCTTATGAATACATTGACTTTGTGGAAATGGCAAGTTATTCTCGTTATACTTACATAAGATAAGATTAGAATGGGGTATCGGTCAACTTGCCTCCACATCGAGACCTTTTCAGATCTATTGTGTCTGCCCTCAAAATCGTTTAGAGTACTAGCTCCACCTTCTCTATACCCTATAATAGCACGCAACCTCCTAGGGACGTTTCTTTTTGGTACATTTCGAGTCCGAATGCATGTCCCGAGCCTAAAATAATTGTCCTGCATGCAATGTCGTATCTAGGACGTCCATGGAATGTCCGAGCTGGTACATCATTCCAAATATCCCATCTAGAGCAACCATGAAATATCCCAGACGGTACATTTCTTCATTTATCTCTGTGCGAACGCACTTAATATTTCCAGGATCGTATAACACCCAAAATGTCCCTCAGGGAAAATATACCTCAAATCCAGAGTATACTCATTGGTAAAAAATGACTAACTCCATCAATTCAAATTAGAATTTCATGCACTCCCAAATGTCTCGATCGTTCCCAATTTTGCACACTTGTAACCATTGAATTTTCGAAACCACACTCGATCACAAATCAGAACTCACAACCGTATTCAACAAAAGAGATGCACTACGCACGAGTTTACATACCGACTGGACCAACTTAATTCTGCGAGATATAACTGTCACGAGGTGCACGCGGAGTGTGCATGCCAATTTGCCGAAAAAATTCTTGTTCATTTGTACTCGAGACACCTTTGTCAACTAGTCGTTGGCACTATATTCGTACGTAACATGAGTAAATATGATTATTGAAAGGAAACTCAAAGTCGTCTCCAATGAGGATTGACTGCCTCCTTTGACATTAAAATTGTGGAGCCGACTTTGAGTTTTCTTTCTTGATCATTCCATTCCACTTTGAGTATGGACTACTACAGAAGATGATTATAGATATTGGATAACAGTCATAAACTCAGACATAATTCTCTCCATTTATAACGAAGGGTTGGTCCAAAGTTTCATTCAGTTGCTGGATCATATACAATTATACACACACCAGCACAATTAAGGGATCGGGCAAAATTTACACCAAGTTTGACATCAATTTTCTCATGAACCCATCGCTGGATTAAATATTTTGTTCCCAAGAATTGCAGCTTGATTCTGCACGACTATACGTCTGACAAATAACCATCCTCAAACGATTCGTATTTATATCATATACAGGGATGTAAAGAATGTACGGATTTTTCGGTATTTTTCGAGACATCCTGTGGAGTGAACCACTAAAAATTGTAACGATTTCTCAATACTAAATTCTGACTCACTCTATTCCGAATGTTTTCATTTTTCATTCATTTTGATATCTCAATTATAACAGAATTCATAGTTTTGAATAAAATGTGGATATTGATCTCAATTTTACCGTCCCCTACATTCAAACTGGGAATAAGATACCTAATCTTCCTCAAAGAATAATTGATAATGTCATCGGAAGCATGAGACGAATGACTGCTGCAATAAGGGCGCGTGGTGGAGGTCACACGCGTTATTGAAATCATTGTTGTTGTTTTGGACCTTTATTGTTCCTTGAGTTAATGTTATCGTTGTTTTCTTTTTATTCACCTCTGAATATTTCCAAGAATCCTTGACACAATACATGAAACTGAGAGCGATATTCAACTTGAAGTGGAAAGTTTCAAAGAAACAACTCGAGAAATGAAACATTTTCGGGTCCAATTCGATTTTCGAGGTGATAGAATGCGGTAAGACCAATCTCCACCTTTCTTTGAACCTCTATATTATCTTGATTAAATGAGATAGATATCAGTATGAATAAAAAAATAAAATATTTGGAAAAGATCAGGCTACAATTTTGTGATACAGACTGGTGTCAATTGTCCTTAATCCACTTCACAGGATGTCTTAAAAAATACCGAAAAATTCATTCATTTTTTTCCACCTCTATATTTGATAAGAAAACGGTTCAGTCGAAGGTGTTTATTCGTCACATGTATTCGTGAAAGATCAAGCTACAATTCTTGATGAAAAAAATCGACATCGAGGGATGGGTTCAAGAGAAAACTGATGTCAAACTTAGTGTAAAGTTTTCCCGTTCCCCTAATAGTGTCGGTGTGTGTATATTCATGCTTCCTGAAACAGCTCTGTTGTGTCTCTTTCGGTGGTAAATAACTCGGCAGTCAAAATTCTCATATCAAAAGACACTATTTCGACATGACCTACATACTACAATCCTAATAATTTCTTTATATATTGAGCAAATCATTTGCTATCAACGATTATATCGAATCCTTGTTGATTTTCTCACGTACTCCAATATCTATATATTAAAATTATTAGATGGATAATAGTATATATCACACATACATCTCACGAAGACATAGCCTATAGATTTTTTTTGAGCATAAGCTCTCCAGCTTCGCAGGACCAAACTGACCAAACAAAACGTGCGATAAATTAGTGTCTTCATATAACTTGTTTCTACTAAATCTACTTATTATCTTTGAGTTATTATATATATAATAATAATTATAATAACTCTTCTTACACGTCTCAATAGTTCCTGATGTTATGTTCTTGATTGATGGCCAATGTTAAGGAATAATTCACCCATCTAAACAAAAATATTGTAAATATGGTCACTGGTCAACGAAAATTCGAAATGAGTATATAGATACTTCGAATCATTTTGTTGATTACCTAGTCTGAAATAGTAATATGTAGAAGTTTTCACCTTTTTCATGCAAGTGTTTGAAAAAATGAATAATTCATGTTCCCCGAGGCATATAACCTCCAGAAATTCAAGATGAACACCAATTCCTACCTTATTTCCCTTGGTTCTCAATATGTTCCCTGAACATTACAGGTTACAGGATATCCCTTTTCGCGGGGAACCAGAACATAAAAAAAATACTCTCGACACTACCTATACTATTTATAGGTATATGATGCATTTTGGGACATATTCAGTGTGTTCCTTAATGATATGCTAATAATTCAAGGGGCCGATTCTTCGACCCATTTCAAGAATAAAACTTCATATGAACATATGTCGTAAACTTTTGTTGAAAATATGCATAGATAATTTTTTTGTACACCCTGTATATCTTTTCGTGATTACAAAATTCAGTCTGGTATGTGACTGAATCGATATACAAATTTCGAAATATCACATACGGTGGTTATCCAGTAATGGATGTCCTGAATGGAGTACTCAAACATCAAGATTTGAAGTTTGTTCTCGTTTTTTCGTTTTTTCTCGAAAACGAAGCGTTCTATCGAGTATCAACAAGAGGAATTTTTTGTACGTAATTGAATAGCCTTTTAGATCATTGCTTGAAATTTGAAAATTTGTAGTCGTTCCTCACTTTTAAGTAATATAAAAACAATAATTTTCCCCTAACGGTGCCACTGGTAGATAAAATAGAAATTTCCGTACATCAGGGAATGCACCTTGATGCATAAAAAACGTGTATCAAATTTCAAAAAGATGTATACAATATTGTCTCAGTTATCATAAAAAAACTAAATATATTTTTCAAAACTTCATCACCCTGTATCTCAAAAGTTGAGTCTTTTAGGACATACGTTTAAATGGAGTTCTCTTCTTAAAATGATTCAGAGAATCACCCCCTCAAATATTAGCATGTCTCTAGGGATCACCCTGTATATTCATTGATAAGTGAGAAATCTGAAGTCTCATATAATAATATACTGACACACCTTGCCATATCAGGAATCAAAGTTGTTGAAATAATCATGATTGTCCGCTATTTTGCTTATACTCTATATACAGTATGATGCAAATGTATGGAATAAATTCATTTCAAAACAAGACGACTTCCGAAAAAAATCCAAAAAGTAGAGTTAAGAACTTTTTTATCGATGTATTTTTTCAACTAGACGATCCTTCGATGTTCAATTCTCAGTAGAAGATCTCTGCAAGATTCAGTTAACCAAATGATAATCCATTTTAATGTCAATCTTCTTTTGCAAAATTTTGACTATTGGATAGACGATCAGTAGACCTTTCAAACGAGGTGTCACATGACCCCTGTTTGTATTTAAAAAAAACGACCATTACGTCATTACTCCAACACCGGTGACGTAACATCTCTCATATGAATGTTATGAGATGAGGTTTCAAAAATTAAAACTCACGTGTTTTTGGAATTTCTTCAAATGTCGCCCATTTCTGAAATAATGAATTTATTCCATACATTTGCATCATACTGTATATAGGGTTGTCCGAAATGATAACTTTTTCATTATCGGACCGATTTCATTGATTTTAGTCTTGTCCAAGAGATCAAAATGTGAAAACACACCTGTATTTCTCCAGTCATATATCAGTAATTTTTTGACGGATTTGAATGTTCGACATCACATTCAGAAAGAAAGTTTAGGCGTGTCCGCCATTTTGTTTCCTTGAAAAATATGAAGTTGACGTTTTGTCTCGTTCAATTATCTTTCAATTTTTTGACGGATTCAGATGTTCGACATCTCTGTTCTATTCAGAATATTATACGCAAAAATAT